GCCCCTTTCTCCTGTGCCTGCGGGCTGCGTCCTCCTTGATCTGCCTTGCGATGCAAACCTCTTCCATCGTCTTTCTGGCTGGCGATGCCTTGCTCTGCTGGAGCCTGGGCCCTTCGTGCATGTGCAGGAGCAAACCCAGGTGCCTTTCAGAGGCAGAGAATGGACAAGCTTATATACTTGGAGTTTAAAAAGGCCTTTGATATGGTCTGCCATGATGCTCTTATAAAAAATAAAAAAAATGGGGGTTGTGGGCTGGCAGAGTCCACCGTCGGGTGGGTTGGGAGCTGGCTAAGGAGTTAAACCCAGAGAGGGTTGATGGACGGGTCTGCATTGTCTTGATGGGAAGTGGCCGGTGGTGTCCCGCAGGGAACCTGTGCTCTTCAACATCTTTACGAAAGATTTAGGTGAGGATGTGGAAAGCACGCTGGCCAAGTTTGCGGACAATACTAAGTTGTGGGCAAAAGTCACTCTAGGGGATAGGATGCTGATCCAAGAGGACCCGGACAAGCTGGAAAGGTGGGCGGAGAGGGACCGGGTGCAGTTCAATACGGATAAATGCAGAGTGCTTCATCTGGGGAGAAGTAAGCGGCGGCATGAATATCGGTTAGGAGATGTCTGGCCAGCACGATGTTTGAAAGGGATCTTGGGGTTATGGTTGATCACAGGATGAATGTGAGCATCCATGGATACATAGACACCTGCTTCCTGAGCTGTGCACCCAAAATGTACCCCTGCGGGCCTATTTGGAGGGCCCCCACGCCCATCCTAATAGGCATCGAAGAGACATGTCAGCTGCCTGTTACACCGCCGGCTGGAGGAGGCAGTGGTCTGGGATTTGATTTACCGCTGCAAAGAAAAGGCTTCCGCCAACATTTGCTAGCTGAGGTGAAGGATCGACCAAATCTCACGGGCTGCTTGGTTGTATCCGACGGCTTCGGTTGTGTGTTGCGGGGGTGGATAATGCTGGGACCAGGGTTGGCAGGCCTCGCGGCTCTTTCCATGCGTTTCTTCCCTTTCCTGCTGGCTCGTGCTCCGTGCGTTGTGTTGCACATCTTCCAGAAGGCGGCAACGCGCTAGCGCAGCAGGGGATTTGAAAAGCAGGTTCCCAAAATAGCAACCCAAAGTCTGTTGGATCTCCCTTCCAAAAGGCAGGTTTATTTAATGCAGACAAGGGTCCTTGGGTGAATCTGGTATCTTTTATTAGACTGACTAAAACAGCTGGAAAAATTCTTGTTTGCAAGCTTTTGGGCACAAACCCCCTTCTTCGGGCAGAGGAAGCGTCCGCAGTTGTTTTGTGCTCTCCTGGATGGGATGGAAACCAGACGCTAGCATGCAAGAACGCCGGTCGGTGAAAATGCGAATGTGTGGCAGTGAGGGTGAGAGACAATGGGTGAGAACGGGTTATTTAATGCACATTTTTGGAAAAAAGCTAAAACAGCTTTTTCTGGGAGGTGGGCATAGGGTTCAGAACTGGTGTCTTGGTTGTAAGAAGTCATAGACTCATGGAAAATTCAGGTGGGAAGGGACCTCGGGAGGTCTCATCTAGTCCAACCCCCTTCTCCAAGCTGGACCAGCCCCAACTCCATCGTCCGAGCCAGGACGTTGCATTCAAGGAGGTGTTTTCTAGCGACCTCGCTGGGACCAGACGTGCTCTATGGTGTTTTCTGGCCAAGGAAGGGGGGAATTTGAGGTGTTTTATTTTGCTGCCAGGCAGACCCGGGTGTCTGAGGAGTGCATGTCCTGCACCGTTCAATCAAAGATCACTCTTGACCTGGACCACGCGGGTCGCTGACCCAGAATTGGCGCTGGTGCTGACCTGCGTGGGCATTTCCATCGCTGCAATAACATTGCTTTAGAAGAGTCTCCATTATTTCCTGTGTCCTGGGTCAGTAACTTCTGAGGCTAAAGCGGCAGGAAAGCAAGTGCAAGGCCAGATGTCCCGTGCTGGGCTGTTGGATTTACCTTCTCCCTCAACCTCCCTGTGTTCAGCTTTGGTTTCTGTTCTCCGATCTCGGGTCCTTCTTCCCTACGCCGGCATGTATTCCCCCAAAGAAAGCGCAACTCCGGTTTGATCCGCGGGTCCATTTCTTTGCTAGGTTTCCAGGGCCAGATTCGGACCTGGGCTCTGCTGATGTAACGCTGCAGTAACTCCAGTGTCTGAGCGGTGATCTCTGCTTCCCAGAATCGGACCTGGGCTAGGAGTCCCTTGCCCCCCCACCTCTTGTCGCTAACACGCTCGTGCCTTTGCACAGAGAGGGGCTGCAGCCGCCAAAACTTCTGCGAGGGCACGTGGGACTGGAGGAAACTGGGACACCTTTTTAAGATCGTCATTTTTTATTTTTCCAGCATAAGGCACTGTTACAGACCCAGCTGCTTTTTTCAAAGCCAGTCTCTTGTAGCCTCACCACAGCTTAAAGAGCAATGGATGGGGCTCCTGAACGCGGTCCTGCACTTGCCTCTCGGGTTCGACCGTGGCATGGCCCCCTCTCTCCGCCAGGTCCCCCTCCCACGCCCCCATTGCTTGGAGCGCTCCTGTTAACGCTGCTTGCAATGTGCGTAGCAGCTACAGGCTCTTCCAAGCCCCCCGCTTGCCCGCTGCAAGGAAACGGGTGTTGCTCGCAGAGGGCTGCAGTCAGCAAGGGAAGTGAAGGCTTGGCTGCTGCCTTTCCTCGTGCAGCGCCTTGCATTATCCCAGGTACCACAGCCCTCCCCGAAAGAAGTGCATGGACTTCAGCACTAACGTAAAAGCAGGCGACCGTGACCACGACTGTTTTCCTTTGAAAAATGTTCCCTCCTGGAGCACCGGCAGGTTGGTTACAGGATCCGCTGTTTTCCTTGAGGTTTCTCAAGAAACAGCCAAGCACCTGCTCTCCCTGTGACAGAATATTTCAGCACCTAACCACGTTTCCCGGCCTGTCTCCCAGCAGCTGAGACCTGACCAAGATGCCGGCGGCTGTGCAAACGGTGCCCAAGGTGCAGGTAGCAGTTTCCCTCTGAGCGCTTTGCAGCAGAGCAGCCGGAGGGGTCATGCTTTGCAGCAGGAAGACGTGTAATGGCTTGCTGTTAAAGCTGGGGGAGTGAGAGGCACGCCCCAAAATTTGGGAGGATTGGGAGAAGGACCCAAGAGTCCTGACTCCATCCCATGCTCCAAATGCTAGCCACGACCAGGATTCGGGGGGCAGTGGATGGAAGAAATCTTTGCAAATGCTCCTGGGGCCTCCCGTCGCCCCAGGGCATCTCCAGTCCCGGGCTGCAGCTGTGCAGCAAGCGGCAGGGCTGCGTCGGAGCCGCAAGAGGGCTGAAAGGCAGGCGCCGGGCGTGTGCCACGGCTGTCTTTAGCCACCGAGGTGATGTGGCTCGGGCACGGTCTGCAGTCGGATTTGATGGGGAAGCCACGAGGCAAGCGGAGGAAGTGCTGTGATGGGGAGCAATGGCTGGGGACAGCGGCCAGCAGGCCACGTGCACCGGCTTCCTGCTCCCTCGTGTCTGGCTTTTCCTGGGAAGGGTCGGAAGAAAGAAATCCCCTTCCTTCCCGAGCAGCCCCATCAGTGCCCCTGCCCCTCTGGACCTGGACTGTCTCGGGGTCGGGCCTGTCTTCAGCTGCCTTTTGCCTCGCATCCCGGCAAGGCCCGAGATGCACGTAGGGTCGGAGTGGGGAGCACGGGACCCCAGGGGTTGTGGGCATCACCTGGGTTGGGCAGGGCCTGGCTTTGCAGACCCTGTGCTTCCACCCCAGGCAGCAGGTTTGCAACGTGTTCTGCATCGTTCGGGACCCGGCACTTGCAGGCTGCTCTGGAGGTTGCAGGATTTAGCCCAGCATGGCCAGGCTGGGCTTGTTACAACAGCCAGTCTCCCCTTTCCCAGGTCAGGGCTTGCTTTCCTCAGTGCTGTGTAATGGAGGCAGCCCCAAGCTCGGGGAACGCGCGTGTCTGGAAAGACGGTGGTGCTTCCCGCAAGCCGAAGAGAGAACGGTAAAGTCCTGTTTGCTGGCATGAGCAGGATGGCGGCACGAGGACATTTTTGGAGGTACAGGAACGGATCGAGGTCATCCCGGCATTGCTTTTGTTTAATGGACAGGGTATCTTCTGTGCCTCGTGCATCCCAGGCCCAGCTGAGGCTAGGATGTAGTCCGTTTGGCCAAAGAGGTGCTTCTTTCTGCTGTTAAAGGGACCAAACTTTGGATGGGGGAAAATTGGGTCTGCAATTAAGCTGAGGGATATTTTTTTGTGGTCTTTTTAAAGCAGAAACCATTTTTTCTCTGTAGAGCAAGTGTGTATGCACACGTGTGCCACACATCCACAGCAACCCCATTGAACCGGCTGTTCAGACTAGGCACCGTAGTCCCAGGTACTTCCACTTGCTGCAGTGAAAGGCTGGCATGTAAAAGCATTAGTGCTCAGAGACTTGGAAGAGAAAAGGATAATTCAACCCGTGTCAGTGTTGAGCAGCTTGGGGTAGGTAGAAACGTGTCACCTTCACAGAGGCAAGGATTTCTTAAGGTGGTATCTTTTATTGGACCACCGGCGTAGTTGGGATATGAGGTTGGACAAGCTTTGAAATGCAAGACTTTCTTCCTCAGGTTCGACCAAGGTCTGACTTGAGGAAGAAAGTCTTGCATTTGAAAGTTTGTCCCGGTTTTGTGTGCAGGTTTGTGTATCGGGGAGTTGTGAAACCCATTGCCAGTGTAGCACACTCCACATCCTGTTTGCTTCGGACGTGCCTTTGTCCGGTTTCCGACACGGGACAGATTTGCAAATTGGGGGGTGGGTGTGAATGCTTAGCAAAGACCGACGGCCAGGCTGGATGTTGTATGGGGCCGGCTCGGCTGTTTCCTCCCAGCAAAAGGATGCCATTGCGGACTTCTCTAGATTGAAACTGGCTGGGCCACGCTGCTCCTGACTTCGAATAAGGACTCTCTCCTTGGCTCCAGGGTCAAACCGCAGATAATTTTGGCCAGCACACGCTCGTGATCAGGTCCCTGAATAGCTGGTCCTCTCCCAGAAGGAAGGGACAAGTGCCTGATGGCTTTGGCTCTCAGGCAGAGATCTTGACAGCCTGCTGGGCCACCTCTCCAAGCTCGCGTCTGCATATTAATGTGCTCCGTCTGCGATCTGCTGATAGATCCAGATTTCTAAGAAGCAAAGACCTGCTGGTAATTTATTATCCTTTCCTCTTTCAAGTCCCGAGCTCTTGCAGCCTGGCTTAGCGGCGGGGAGCTTTTATCTCCAGAGAAATTGCACGTTGCTCAGAGCGAGCTTTCTCCGGGCCGGCCGTGTTCCCCGCTGCGAGGCTGTCTGCGATGAATGTTTCCAGCTGCAGTGGGGTAGAGGGAAGCGGGTCAGCTCTCTGGTTTGGCCATCCAGCCAAAATCCTGCTCCATAGAGCCGGGCTCGGCTCTGCTGGCAGACCTGCACCTTCTCTCTGCTCACGGAGCTGCCCGGGCTGGCGTGGACGAGGCCACCGAGCTCCTTGTACCCGGGCGGTCGCCTTCAGCTCCAAGGGCACTCGGCCCTTGGCGTGGAGCAAATTGGATCCCTTTGCTTTAGCTTGCGTGCCCTTCCAAGCTAGCTCTTGCCACGCTGCAAAATACCGCGTCGCTGTTAGTAACAGCCCGCACGCGGTTGATCCCAAGCCTGCATCTAACCGGGGTGGACTGTGGCTTCGAGGGTGGAGGGAGGCGATGCTGCCAGGTGCAGCCGGGTCTTTCCAAAATGCTTGCTGGCTTTTTTGGCTTCTGTGTCCAGTCCACTCATCTGCTGCCTTCCTAGGCTGTAAGAGAAGACGGGTGTGTAGTTGATCGTACTAGGTGTGTTGTGTGCAGGGGGCGTTTGCACCTGGTATTTTCTAAATGATCTCTTGCTCCCCCTTCCTGTCCCCGACGCTGTGTGTTTCCTCCGTGCTTTCTGTACAGAGATAAATCCACTTGCATTTACATGGACCTCTTCATTTCACCCCTGCTAGGCCACGTCCGTGGAGCTCAAACTTAATTAACCGTCGACACCAGAAACGTCAAAGTGTTGCCTCTCGGCATGCAGGAGTAACCGTGCAGAAGCCTTGATTTAAACCCATTTAAACAGTGCACTATTTGGGATGCAAGATGGGAGGTTTATCTCGCCCAGGTCAGAGCTGTAACAACTCTGCAGGTTTTATGATTGCTGCAGGAAAAAATCCTGGGTTTCTTTTGTTTTTGTTTTTTTTAATTTTATATACATTTTAGACCTTGATAATAGTTTTGTTTTATTTGTGTGTGTGTGTGATGGGGGTGTCCTATAGCATGGAGAAGGGTGCTGAAAACTCCTGCACCGGGCTTAAGGACCCTTCAGGAGATGTGCTCTGCATCAGTGGGGCCAACCTTTTTGGCAGGTGGCACAAATTAAGCCCCATGCCCACCCTGAGAGCCACTCTGTCCCCTTCTGCCTGCTCCACCTGTGCTTCCTTCCTGATTTGTTGCTCTGCAGTCTGCTCCCTACTAAAAAGCAAAGTGGGGTCTGGGTATATCGGTAGCAAAGAATCAGGACTCGTGGTAGAGGTGATATCTGTTATTAAATCAACTAGATTTTTGCAAAAAAAAATTGCTTTAATTGCAAGCATTCGAGCACAAGCACCCTTCTTCAGGCATGCAAGAAAAGATTGTAAATGTTCTCCTGGGTAGAAATGAAAGTTGATATTCCTGGGAGAGTTGAAGGTAAAATCTCTTGAAGTTCATTTGATATGCAGATTAGGCTCAGAGAAAAGTTGGAATAGTCTGTTTGCCTCCAAGTTGTTTGGTAGCAAGGGGCACTCGGCGGGGTTTTGAATTGGGCGCATTTTTGGAGTTTCATTTACACGCAAGCTAAAATATGTGCGCGTCCGCCACCGGGTTGGTGCATGCAGTAGATGCGACAAACCCCATCGGCTTGTGGGAGGATGGAGAGGGAGGAGTGTGCTAATAATATCTTCTTTTTTCATTTCTAATGGGTCGGGCGTATGTGGATACCGGCGTGATGGATGCCAGGATATCTAGATAGCTGCAACACTGGTTTTGAGGATGACTTAAGAGGGCTGCATTTAGGCCTAGATCTAACTGGGTGGTGTGCCCATGCCTTTTACGCTGTTTCTGTATTGCTAAGTTTATTGCTTGGACCTGACCTGTTGTACTCAAATGCCGCACCCCCAGGTTGAGGTCCATGGGAACAGGGGCTGGCTTTGCACTTGACAAGGAGGCATCGTGTCTAACATCTCCGTCAAGTGCGGTGATGGGTTCCTGTGCTCGTTTTACGCCCTCTTTGACGCATGCAGTCTTTTAATGCGCATTAAGTGCGATCTCCCCAAATCCCTCCTGCTTTCTGCAATGACTTCTCCTTTCTCTTGCAGGCATGGTGCAGAAACTGGACCAAAAGCTCCCAGTAGCCAACGAGTACCTGTTGCTTTCGGGCGGCGTCCGGGAAGGCGTGGTGGATCTCGACCTCGACGAGTTAAACGTGTACGCTCGTGGCACGGACTACGACATGGACTTCACCCTCCTTGTGCCCGCTCTGAAGCTGCATGACCGAAACCAGCCGGTCACGCTGGACATGCGGCACTCGGCTTTGTGCCACTCGTGGCTCAGCCTTCGGCTCTTTGACGAGGGCACTATAAGCAAGTGGAAAGACTGCTGCACGATCGTGGACCATATCAACGGGGCGACCAATTACTTTTTCTCTCCGACGAAGGTGGCGGACTGGTTCTACGACTCCATCAGCATCGTCCTGTCCGAGATCCAGAAGAAGCCGCAGCGCGGGATGCCGAAGGTAGAGAAGGTGGAGAAGAACGGGACGATCATCTCCATCATCTTGGGAGTGGGCAGCAGCCGGATGCTGTATGACATTGTCCCCGTGGTGTCTTTCAAAGGCTGGCCGGCTGTGGCCCAGAGCTGGCTGATGGAGAACCACTTCTGGGACGGCAAGATTACGGAGGAGGAAGTCATCAGTGGGTTTTACCTCGTGCCTGCGTGTTCCTACAAGGGGAAGAAGGACAACGAGTGGAGGCTGTCATTTGCCAGGAGCGAAGTGCAGCTGAAAAAGTGCATCTCCAGCAGCCTCATGCAAGCCTACCAGGCCTGCAAGGCGATCATCATCAAACTCCTCTCCCGGCCCAAAGCCATCAGTCCGTATCACCTGCGGAGCATGATGCTCTGGGCCTGTGACAGGCTACCTGCCAATTACTTGGCCCAAGAGGATTATGCTGCCCATTTCTTGCTGGGGCTCATCGACGACCTGCAGCATTGCTTGGTCAATAAGATGTGCCCCAATTACTTCATCCCTCAGTGCAACATGCTGGAGCACCTCTCCGAGGAGACGGTGATGCTGCACGCGCGGAAGCTGTCCTCGGTCCGCTCGGATCCCACCGAACACCTCCGAACTGCCATCGAGCACGTCAAGGCGGCCAACCGGCTCACGCTCGAGCTCCAGAGGCGAGGCAGCACCACCAGCATCCCCTCCCCGCAGTCGGACGGCGGGGACTCCAACCAGCCCGACGACCGGTTAGCCAAAAAACTGCAACAGCTAGTGACTGAAAACCCGGGGAAATCCATCTCCGTCTTCATCAACCCAGACGACGTCACGAGGCCTCATTTCAGAATCGACGACAAATTTTTCTGAGCTTTCGCTGGCATTTTCTTTCTTTTTTTTTAAAGACTTTACAATGTGTAGGGGTTCTTCCTTTTTTTTTTGGTTGGTTGGTTGGTTTTTTGGTGACTGTCTGGCGTTTTTTACATATCCAGCGTAGATTGGATCTGTTGAGAACAGTACAAATAAATTATAACTCCTGGTTCTGCAGGACGGTGCAGATTTTGAAACAGTATATTACTATTTCATATGCTGCTTTGGTTCTTGCCCCCCCACCCCCTTCCCAGCCCCCTTTGTTCGTGTGTCGTTTCTAATGGAGAATGTGAGCCATAAACGCACATGCCCATGTCTTTGTCTTTCCCCCCCCCCCCCCCCCCCCCCCTCCACTTTTATAAACATA